AAGCAAGCCACCAGGTCTGGGACTCGAACCACAGTCAGCCAAGTGGGAGTCCAGCACCCTTAACCACCATGCCACCTGCAGGCCGTGGAAGAGGGGGCTGTTTTAAGAAACTGCAATGTTAAGGAACAGCACTGTACTGCTGTAAGAATGTGACTGAGGGTCACAGTCTGCATAATCTAGGCCTTCCTGGGAGTGTGCAGGCAAATGACATCTTCACATCCCTCTTTCATGGATGGCATGAATTCTGTAACTGACTCTTTAGCACCTAAGGTGCATGACTGATCCCATGGCGCCCATTAGCAAGTGAGTGCACAGCATTCCACGGCACAGCTTTGGTGCTCAGATCTCATTCTTGGTTCCATCTGATATTGTTTTTCCTACACATTATCCCCTTTGTCCCAATTTCCTCACTCAACTATTATTTTTTGTTGTTGTCGGAAGTGATTTTTGTTAAATTGCCATCTGTTTATTAGAGCAAGATAGAATATAAAATGAGAAATGAATGAAAATATTTTATTTACGGCATGGTGTCTAGCTCATAAGTGTTCAGTATATGTTGAATAACTGAGTTTTGCTAATTGTTTAATAGGATATGAGGAACTTACGACTTGCTTATAAACAGGAAGAACAGAGTAAACTAGGGATATTTGAAAACCTCAACAAACATGCATTTCCTCTTTCCAATGGACAGGTAAGTACATCACAGTAAGCCTTTTTTTGAATGTGTATGTGGGGTTCTGAAATCCCATGTTTAAATTATTCCCTTTTCTAGAAGTTTTCTTTTCTTCTTTTAATTTGCTATAGAAATCTGGCCATACTGCAGTCCCTTCTCCTGTGGGGACTTTGGGCTTGCATGCACACGAGCCCAGCATGCTTTTCATGCCGAGTCAGGGACTTAAACTGTGCAGTCAGCCGTGTAGGATCCAGTCACTTCAACCACCACACCACCTGACTGATTCCAGAAGTTTTCTTTATCTCTTTTTATGCTCTGTTGGTAATTAATACCAGAATATTTTAAATTTATCAGTTTTGTGTAGTGATTATGAAAACTGCCAATTTGTTGCTTCAAGTTTTAGATTAAAATAAGATTCTTTGTATGGCAGCTGAACGGTGGCATAGTGATAGCACAGTGCTTGGTGAGCACTGCTGACTCATGTGGGAATGTTCCAAGTTCATGTCTTCAGACTTCTCTAAACACACTGGAGCCGCATGTACCCATGATCAGGGGCTGGCTGCCCCTAGGGATGGATTGTGGCATGAGGATCCCATTGGAGGTGGCTGTCTCTCTGTCTGTCTTCCCTCTCCCCCCTCTCTCTCTTTTCATCTTTCTTACTCTCTCACTGCCTCTGTGTTCTTCTTGGTCATGAAACAAACTTCAAAACCAAAAAATAGGAATGTTAATACATTCAACTCATATCAGAATGAAAAGCTTTACTACTGAATGTTTTATATAAAAAAGAAATGCTAACATATACATTCTGTGGTTTTTGTATCCAGGTACTATTTGCATTCAACTATAAAGAAAAGTTCCCAGTTAATGGCTGGAAGGTTTATGATCCAGTGTCTGAATATAAAAGACAGGTAAAGTATGTTGTTTATCAAAAATGAAATAGTGTGTTGAGCATCTTTTTCACTTCTAAAAGATTAGAAATACAGTAGTAGAGAAGAAACTTTTAAAAACAGGTCGCACATACGTACAACTTCTTTAGCTTACAGATTCTCCATCTCCTGGATACCCTCTCCTCCCTGCACCATACTTCAGACTGTCACCGTCCTTCCTGTTTCTGGAGAGCAAGTGGGACTCAAGGACAGGGGTGGAAAAACCAGATCTGCCAACTGTGTATATTCCATGTTCTAGTGAAGAGTTGATGAGTAAGGCTCTCAACCACTGACTGAAGTTAGATTTGACTCCATCAGTCTGATTTGGTGTTCCTGGGTCTGGAACCAAATTTGGTGTTCCTGACTCCCACA